AACTATAGTCAACAAGCGACAGGGAACAACGAAGCAGGAAATGAGAGTGTGCCGGATGATGTATGCCAATCAAAAGATGAGCTGGAGGAAATTAATGGGGAAAACCTAAGAGAAACAACGTCAATCTTGGATCAGAGGAGAATACTAAGGGAAAACAAGGGGACAAAATCAGCAAAATTAACAAAAAAAGCCTGGAAGATCTATTGAAGATAGACCAAGTGAACATAAATAACATCCACAAAATGGTTTCAGAGGGCATGAAAGATGGTAGAATGCTTAGAGACACAGAAACACAAAGTGAAAAAAGAGAAATGAGAGAGGGAATTACTTAGAAAGATGAAAAAGGGGAAAACAAGAAGGGGCCCCTTAATGTTGACAAACATGTATATATTTAACATCGGAAATTGTAAAGGGGTATATCCTTTATATTAAAAAGAAGAATTAAATTGAAATAAGGGAGCCCTGATCAGGGTAAAGATGTAATATGTCAGGTTTTCATTTTAGGTAAACTAAACTAGATATAAAGCTGGGGCATTGATCTGGAACCACTTTCAATAAGAATGTTATTAGAAGACCTTGAAAATATTGTACACTATGAGAGTAATATTATGATAGTAGTCATATTATATACTAAAATCTGTACATGAATGGTTTGAATGTCTGAAAGATGTCTGGAATTTGGGGGGACAACCGGGAAGACACTGAGATGTAAAAAACAAATAATTGTAAGCAAAGCATGTAACACGATGTTTGGCAAGCACAAACCAATGTAGATAGATTGAAAAACTAATAAAATGTTTTTTTTAAAAAAAGAAAAGTAAAGGAAAGCTCTGGATTGCAATCTGGTAATATTAAATAGCAGGCAGAGGCAGGGGAGGGGTACCTTCAGGCCTGGGAGTAGATGTTGCATTACTTTCATGTTAAGTGATCGGGCTAGACTAAACCACCCTTCAGCACCTCACTTACAGGAAAAAGAGAGAGACAGCAGTTAGCTGTCAGAAAAAAGAAGAAGACTAAAATGGCAGTGGTTAGTCACCCTCTGGTGGTCTTGTTTTCATTCTCTTCATAGCAACTTTTTAATGCAAATAGTTGCTGTACATCCTTTGGTAAAGCCTGGATTTGACAAAGTTTGGAAAGTTAACTTTAATTAGTGCAATGCTATATTAAAGCCATCCGTAACTGAGCAGTGGTAAGATAATGCTCTGGAAGCAGGAAGATCACTCTACCAGTGCTCGGTTATTAATTGCTCAGTTATGGATGGCTTCAGCATGTCATTATGTTTGTTTGATTAAAACAGAGCTGTTCTAGCCCTGGAGCTGTGTACTTACTTCTCAGAAGGCTGAGGTAGCGGGTGGTTGGGTATTGGTGCCACAAAGTTAGCAGAAGACCCCATGGCAGAGCAATGAGAAGTGTGGTGAGAAGGTTGCGTCTCCTCAGCATGCTGCAGAGAAGTTCCCGTGCCCGGGCATCTCCCTACCTTCTGAAACAAAGTAGAAAGTGAGTAACAGATGTGAAATGGAATGGATGAAGCAGAGTTCCTAATGACTGGTCAAGTAGGATCTAACATGAGATTCACAAATCTAGCTTTAACTCCAATTGCTGGTCTCAACTAGAGTAGGCAATGACTGAAGCAATGGGATTTATATTACTAGTCTTGAGATACTCTTCAGCAATGAATAGAATAGGTCTCGGTTGGGACCGGCAAATGGAATGAGACCTTAGTTGTGTTTGATTCTGCCATGTGATGATTGCTCTTATCTTGATTGAGCACATTACAAGCTCTTCATTCCCCCTGAAGCTCTAAGTGGCTCTTATAGACTGTGTTGACAGAGGTATCTTCACTTTATTCCATTTTTAATTATCAATCATTTCCACTTGACTTTGGCTCATCCTGCTAAGCCTAAGAAGCTTCAGAAAAATGCAACAAAGTATGTTTTGGGAAGAAACTATAGCACAGGGCTTAGAAATGTTACTTTTTCTGTTACAGATTCCCAATTAGCATGATTAGTAACATTTCTAAATTCTGCAAAGATGTATGTTTGCTGCAAAATCAATGCTGAAGTTTCTTCTGTGTTCTGCAGGAAATGTGAGACAGCCACTTCTGTAGAGAGACCAACAGTCTCGCTGGACTCCATTCATTTCCTCATGAAATATTTGCAACTTATTTCAAGAGTCAACTATGGCTACAAGTCCTAGGCACACTGGCCCGAGATTAATTCATTCACTCATTCATTCAATTGATATCTCACCCATCTAGCAAACTGCCACTCTGGGCGGTGTACAACAAATTAAATATGCATTGTACAGTAATATCGGGTTTTTATTAATTGTTTTTATGCTGTCTTTTTAGTGTGATTTGATTTTCTGCATTGTTAAGTTTCTGTGGTTATTATTTAATGTATTATTGTTGTCTATTATGTTGTGAACCACAGAGTAGCCTAGGTAGTCAGATGGGTGGTATATAAATTGAATAAATAATATAATAATCATACAGATAACAGACTATCCCAGACAGAAACCATAAGCTGCACGAAGCCCAAAAGAACCTGAGCAAATGTGGGGCTTGTTTATGAAACATACCCTCATTGGTTTGGTTATAAAAATGAAGTGTATGGCCAGTTGTTTTTAGATTAGGAGCTACTGAGGAGAAGGAAAGAAAAGCCAGCTCCACATCTCCCCGTGCTTCAACCTCTGCCCTCATAGGCTTCTCAAAGTTCTGTATTAAAGACACTTAAGGAGTGGTTATACTAGTGCCACACACACTCACATGGTGAATTTATGTGGCTGAGGAAAGATTTGAACCAAGATCTCCTAGTTCTAGTGGCAACAAGGCTATGGCTGAGCTTGAAAACAATGGAGCAGTATGGAGAGGCTACCAAGTTGGATACTTTCATTAACTCCATGCCCAGAGTGTACCCCGATAAGACGCTATGATCACATTATATGCTGCAGGATGAAGAGATGATTCACTTTCTGGGAGTAAAGAAAGGTGATGCCAGACACTTTTTCTCCCAGGTTGCCATCTTCCAATACTGGACGGAATTGTGAGGGTGAAGGCAAAGAAGCCAATCAGAATGCAGGAAAATTAGAGGTGTGAATGGAACTAAAAGCTATTGCTGGTATAGGGTGCACATTAGAATTTAGTTCATAATAAGCACTATTACTTGTATTTTTTTTGTAATTTTTGTTGTTATGTATGTGTTCTTTTGTGTATTTTTTGTATAAAATATATTTTTAAAAAAAGGAACTAAAAGCTATTGCTGAGAGAAGGGACAGACTGAATCTCACTTGCATTCATTGGGCGCACACAGATGCTTTTCAGATCACTTTTTCTCATGAGTTTTTACTTATCCAGGTCTGGGCTTCTCTAGAACTTTTGTGCCTCAGTTTTCCTTAATTCTGAGAGAAGCATCTGTTTTTACAATAGGTGAGATTACTTTTCCTGAGAGAGTATACAGCTGCCTTTCCCTTGTGCTTCTTTTTTTTTAACAAAGAGTTGGTTTTCCTGGGCTACATTTGTGGCCCATAGACCACTCTGAGTAAACTCTGATTCATTTCCTTCTTTTATTTATTCCTTCACTATATACACACCAGTGGCTTCATTATTTTATTTTATATAATCTTTTCTGATTATCCTATCTGAATTCTTCTGGACCAATTCCTACAGTCTTCATGAACCTGTTCCTTGGAATAGGTATGTATGTAACTTACTTACCGTACTTCATTTTATCTTTACGTTACATACTGCTTAACAGTTGGGAACATACTGAACTTTAACAAGAGGCCTGGTTTAAATACAGTGGTGCCTCGCATAACGAGCGCACCGTTTAATGACGAATCGCGATGCATTTTTTGCGATTGCTAGTGCGATCGCTTGCGATGTTTAGATAGGCTAAACATCGCATTGCGATGATTGGTAAGCGTTTCGCTTACTGATCTTCGCATTGCGATGTTTAGAAAACAGCTGATCGGCAGTTCCAAAATGGCCGCCGGATCAGCAAAATGGCCGCCCGCAGCGTTTTCGCGCCGTGCCCTCGCTTAACGGGCAGTGAAAATGGCGGCCTGAAGGGGGAATCTTTGCTTACAGGTGAGTTTTCCCCCCATAGGAATGCATTAAACAGAGTTTAATGTGTTCCTATGGGGTTTCCCCCCCGCATAGCGACGAATCTGGATAGCGACGTTAATCCTGGAACGGATTAACGTCACTATGCGGGGCACCACTGTACATTGTTTTATAAAGGGCTAAGTAGCTGTGTGGGTTAAACCGCAGAAGCCTCTGGGCTGCAAGGTCAAAAGATCAGCAGTTCGAATCCACACATTGGAGTGAGCTCCCGTCACTCAGCTCCTCCAACCTAGCAGTTCAAAAGTACATTAAAATGTGAGTAGATAAATAGGTACCACCATGGTGGAAAAATAATGGCATTCCGTGTCTAGTCACACTGAGCACGGAAGATTGTCTATGGACAAAACACTGGCTCTATGGCTTGGAAACGGGCATGAGCACTGCTCCCTAGAGTCGGACACAACTTGACTAATTGGCAAGGGGAATCTTTACCTTTACCTTAACTGTAGCTGATTTTGCATAACTTGAATTTCATCTGATATTCTAACTGAGATTGTTCTGCATTCGTCGTCGTCGTTTAGTTGTGTCTGACTCTTCGTGACCCCATGGACCAGAGCAGGCCAGGCCCTCCTATCTTCCACTGCCTCCCGGAGTTGTGCCAAATTCATGTTGGTTGCTTCGATGACACTGTCCAACCATCTCATCGTCTGTCGTCCCCTTCTCCTCTTGCCTACACACTTTCCCAACTTCAAGGTCTTTTCCAAGGAGTCTTCTCTTCTCATGAGATGGCCAAAGTATTGGAGCCTCAGCTTCAGGATCTGTCCTTCCAGTGAGCACTCAGGTTTGATTTCCTTTAGAATCGATAGGTTTGTTCTCCTTGCAGTCCAGGGGACTCTCAAGAGACTCCTCAAGCACCACAACTCAAAGGCATCAATTCTTCAGAGTGGTCAGCTTTCTTTATGGTCCAGCTCTCACTTCCATACATCAGTGGTCCAGCAGAAGGGTGCAGTGGTCCAGCAGAGGGGTGCAATGGTGACCATTACTGGTCTGGCCCAATGGGGGATTGGAGGACCAGTATTTCTTTGTTAATACCGCCCATAGAAAAAGAAGAAGCAGCATTTAACCCTTGCAGTGCAGGAGCAGTTGTTTTTTTCTAAACTAAAACCTCATCATTCATAATTGCAGTATTGGCACTTTGAAATAAGTTGATTTTGTGTTGCAGTTTGGGCACTTGGACTCAACAAGGTTAATCATCACTGGTCTAGCCTTAGCTCTGAGGAAGCATACCTAGGATGGCAGTGTTAATTGACTAAATTAATTTTTGAGGGATCCAATATTTGTGATTGATCACAATCTGATTATCCAACCAGTCTCTCACTAATCTGATTACTGTATCTCAGTTTATTTTCATACACTGAGGGGCAGCAGGGTTCTCATTCCACTTTAACTGTCATGGCTTTACCCCAATGGATCCATGGGATTTGTAATCTTGTGAAGTTGTTGTTCAGGGGAGTTATGTAGCAGAGAATTCTCAGGACTTCATGAAATGATACATCCCAGAATTAGTTTGAAGAGTCATCAATCTGCTATAATTGATTCGTGTAGTGTAGCGTTAAATCCTTCTCTAGCAAAAAGATCCACTCTACCATTTTGGCCTGTTCGGGAGATTGTTAGGGTAAAGTTCATCTACACTATGGTATCCCTTGTTACTATGTATAGAAGGGAGAGCTGAAGAAAGCTAACAAAATTCATTTTGGGATGCAGAGTAGCAGTAGAGCTTTGCAGATATCATCGACCACCAAAAAAGGCAAAAAAGTGGGTACTAGATCAATTCAAGCTTTAATTCTCTCTGGAAGCAAATAAGAATAAACTGAAGCTATTGTACTTTGGGTGCTTCATGAGAGTCAAGACTCCTTGGAAAAGACACTAAGCTGAAGACAGCAGGAAAAGAAGAAGAACAAATAAGGGATGGATTGACCCAAATATGGGAAACTGCAGGCTTCAGTTTGCAAGAGTTGAGCAGGGCTTCTGAGGACAGGACATTTTGGAGATTGGTCATTCATAGGGTCACCTTGGGTCAGAAGTGACTTGAGAGCACATAACAACAGGGAGATTTTGAAATAGAGGTGGGGAACTATGGGCTCTCCAGAGCTTTTGGACTACAGCTTCCACAGTCTCTTACCACTAGGCATACTGACAGGAGTTATTAAGAGTGGCAAAGTACTACCCTAAAAATAAAAAAGGAACTTAGTAGTTCTATTGTTAAAGCAGACCATTTGTGATCAAAGCACCCTTTCCCTTGCTTGTCAAAGAAGCCTCATTAGCCCTGTCGCAAAGGACTCACCAGTTTTCTGTCACAGCCAGGAACATGCCTTGACACCAACAGCAGGGGCTGGCAGGCAGACTTTTAGCCTCCAGGCAGTCCTGGGCTCTGATGGAGACTGGTGTCTCTGAAATTCTCCTCAGATGCTGAGTGCCCACAATTGGCAACTTCTTTGCAGGCCTCCTTCCACATTCCCTTCTGTCAAGTTGTGGCGGTGCTTCCTCTGGAGTCCTAAGTTAGGGAGACACATAGCATAAACTCTTGAAAGTAAATCTCAATGCACTGGGTCCCCAGATGTTCTTGAACTACAACTCCCAGAAACCTTTGCCAGTTAGGGGGTGAAGGCTTCTGGGAGTTTTCATCCAAGAACACCTGAGGGCCAAAGGTTGGGAACCACTGTCCTAATGCATTCAAGAGCACTTCCTCACAGGTAAATATGTGTAGGATGGTGGCCTTTATTACTGCTGTTACTTTTGATCAGCAACATTAATACACAGGTGGATCACACTTCAATTGGGTAGAGTGGGGCTCAGTCCCAAATGAGGCACACACACCCTTTGCTCAGAAGCCACCAGTATATTTCTATCCCAACACACTTGTAGGAGAACATCCTGTTTCTGATCTAATGTTATTTCTCACAGATATCTTTTCGTCTTTCAGTATTCAGTGCATGCAATAATGGGGTTTAGAAATTAGTACATTTTAATTAATTGAAATCTGCCTATGGATCTTTCTATTGTCAATGTTATTATTGTATTTCTAATTCATTTGACTGTTGTGATTATGAATTGAAGGACTTTCTGAAGAAAAAGTTGTTTTTTCTCTTTACCTTTGTAACACTATTCAAAACCCCACCCCACCCATTCTTGTTGTAGTCTTTAAAAAAAAATCTGCTACTAAAGTATTTTCTACATCCTTATCCTTCCCTTAGGCTAACCACATACAGGTCCTTCAAACCACTCTTCACATGACAGCTTTCTCTTGAACTCTGAGAGTGCCTCTAGATAGTCAGTTCCTAGTGGTAATAAATCATTGCTCTTCTGCCACATGCTACCAGTTGGACTGTAATGGACTCTTCACATTATCAAGGGATATTTGTGCTTTCTGCATCATCCCACTATGTCCTGCCCACATTAGTGCCCTTAATATTACTCATTTACCCATTTTCGGGGCTCTGGTATTTATATGGGTTTTGGGATGTAGAATTCAGCACAGCTCAGTAAAACATCCACTAAATCCTTTGCAGTGACTGCCATTTTGATAACACATCCATTTTTCCCCTAATTAGTGCTAAAACATGCTTTTAAGTAAGCCTAACAATACTCCAGCTATATATTTCATTAAAAGTACATTGAGATCTTAGCAAAATACCACTTAAAGTGTGTTATAGCACTATACCCCTATAGTATGAGTACTTATACCCAGCATGGTGTAGTGGATAGAGTAATAGACTAATGCTTAGGAAACCTGGCTTAGAATCCCTGCTGAGCCGTGGAAACTCACTGGTGGTGTGGAACAGGTAAAACCACTCCTTAAATAACTCACTTACCTTAAAAAAAATATTAGAATTCCTATAAATCAGTTCTGACTTGACAGCACATAACAACAATAACTGTGGCTTGGTTTTGTCCCCTTAGAATGTGAGTTTTACCTTTTGTTTTGCTTTATTCTTTTTTAATTATGTTTAATTGCCTAAAACTTTTTTCAAGCAGCTGTTACTGTTCATTTCTTTCTGAGATCTCTGGTTATGAGGCAATATATAAATATTATAATATATAACTAACAGAAGAAATCCAGTTTATTCTTCCCTATCAGTTCCTGTCATTATTTACGATTCCAATCTTCTTTGTCTTCTTACATTTCTGCCGTTAGTTGTTCAACTTTCTGCTTCTCTCTCAACTTCACCATGACATTATTGGAAAAAAAATAACTCTTTTCCCTTGGCTTTGCCCTTGCAGTCCTTCAGTAAAGAGCAAGTTCATGGGGCAAACCACCACAGCTCACCTACCTCCTCCCCATAAGCTCTAAGCAATGGTGTACAACTCCTCACATTCCTTTAAAAACAGCCACTGCCACCGCATAAACAAGCTAGGAGTGGACGTGCCAGGAGATTTTAGTGGCAAAATTAAGTCTTCTGTGCAATTTAGGGGTTTGGAAGGACAATAATGGCAGCAAGACACAATACAAAAGGAGATAAATGGGAAACTATTGATGCAAATGAGATGTTGGAAAATATAGACAATCACTAAAGAACTCAGTACAAGAGGGAAGGATCCACAGCTGTCGAGAGAAAGGCTCTGGCATCTGTGCCTTTTAATGTATCCGGAACAAAAGAATTTCTGAACAATGATCTAATATGTCTAGTTACTGAAAGGAGAGGGCAAAACAGTTAATAACAAAGCAGGAAAAGTAGATGTGTTCTAGATTCATTGTCGGAAAAAGTGGGGATGATGCATTTGTGCTACACAATGATAATGAACTACTTCCTGTTCCAAGTGTTTCAAAGGATTGTTGTTATAGGTAAAGGTAAAGGTTCCCCTTGAAAAATTGTTCAGTCATGTCCAACTCTAGGGGGCAGTGCTCATCCCTGTTTCCAAGCCGTAGAGCCAGCGATTGTCCATAGACAGTTTCCGTTGTCACGTGGCCAGTGCGACTAGACATGGAACACCGTTACCTTCTCACTATGGTACCTATTTATCTACTTCTAATTATTACATGTGTTCAAACTGCTAAGCTGGCAGGAGCTGGGACAAGTGACGGGAGCACACTCGGTTGCGTGGATTCGAACTGCTGGCCTTTCGATCTTTCAGCCCAGAGGCTTTGTGGTTTAACCTGAACTGCTGGCCTTTCGACCTTGCAGCCTAGAGGCTTTGCAGTTTAACCCACAGCACCACCACGTCCCTATTACAGTGGTGCCTCGCTAGACGATTGCTTTGCATAATGACAAATTCGCTTTACGATGTTTTCGGAGCCATCTTGCGCTTCGTTTAACAATGTTTCCTATGGGCAATTTTCACTTTATGATGTTAGGGACCTTGCCTTGCAAGACAGTTAAATTTTAGGTCCCTGTTTTTTGCTTTATGATGTTTTTGACAGCTTGGTCTTGCTCCGCTATACGAGTCTTTTAATGGTCTCTGTTTCGTTAGACAACTGTCTTCGCTTAGGAACCGCGTTTTGCTTATCGATGTTTCCTATGGCAATTTTCGCTTTACGATGACAATCCGTTCCCATTGGAACGGATTATTAGGTTTTCAATGCATTTCAATGGGAAAACATGTTTCGCAAGACGAGGTTTTCGCTTAACAGCGATTTTCGCGGAATTAACATCGTCTTGCGAGGTACCACTGTACTGTTGTTATATCTAGGGCCAAAGAGATCTAAATGAGCAGGCCCTGAAATGTTCCCAAGCTATTTTCTGTATGGATAGAACTGCTCACAGAAAATAGCAGTATGGGATTGAGTCTTGATTCAGCTTCTAGTCCTCAAGGAGCATGAAACTCACCGACTGACCTTGAGCCAAGCATCCCCTTTCAGCCTAATATACAGTACCTCGCAGGTTTGTTGTGAGAAAAGTGAGAAGGACTATTTCCTCCTACCTTGTGCTCACTGAAGGAAAGGTGAAAGCTGAGGTAGGAAAAGTTATATTTTTAGATTATTGAAGCCTCACCTAGTAGAGCCAATGGCTGAAGAATATGGGGATCAAAATTCATAAAAGTAACTTCTGCAGGCTCTGGTTTGTGGCAGAGGGCATGCCATTGATTGTGAAGAATGGCAGGGATTCTGAAACTTTTAACAGCCAGGACTTACTCTCCTTTCCTGCTGCCTATCATGAATTCCTTTTCTAAGCCTTCATCTCCCCTGTTTGGCTAATACTTGTAAGAACATCCACCAGCTTCATGATGGATGCCTTCAATATGCTGCCTGTAAGATTCCTGAGCTGATTTCCAATTACACACATCTCTGTATAATTTCAGCCATCCATCTTGTGTTTTCCTTTTATACACAGCTCTCTAAACCAGAACTTCATAATTAAAAGTTTGACTTCAGCCTTACAACGTAACTCTCATTTTAATTTAAACATTCTTGCAGCCATCAAAACTGGGCAATCTTTATGCATGTGAATTACAGATCAAGGCCCCATCACCGGTATTAGCAAATAAGAGAAGCTCCAGTTTTCAACCACTAAAAACTTTCATTCCATTGCAGGCAACACATATCGGCAACCCATTCTCGATTGGGACTGTTGTGGCAGGCACAAGGTTAAAGCAGCGGATGTGAAGAAGTTTCACTAATGTCATGTTGTTTCTGGTTTCAGTCCCTGAAGTACTCCAAGCTTTCTATTTACCACATTATGCACAATAATGTGTCAGTGCAAAACTATTGCCTTTTCATAGAATCACAGAACTGGACGGGCCATCGCCCTCAGTGCCCTGCTGATGCAGGAATGCCCGCTGAAGCATTTCATTTACATTTATATTTATATAACACGAAGTATTGCACATATATGCACATATACACATGTCCATATACCAGAACTACAAAGAGAAAAGATGATCAAAAAGACACAAATAATCCATCGAGTATTACCACATTCACTAACTCATGCAAAAATATTTACTGCACATTTCAGTTATGACCATATCTTGCTTTATCAGTCTAGCCAGGTATTAAGATGATCAGGGGAGGCCTTTCTCTCAGTCCCACCACCCTCACAGGTGTGCTTGGTGGGGAGACAAGAGAGGGCCTTCTCTGTCCTCGCTCCCGGTCTCTGGAAGTCCCTCCCATGGGAGGCCAGGCTGGCTCCATCTTTGATGTCTGTCTGCAAGCAGATAAAGACCTTTCTCTTCAGGCAAGCTTTTCTTTAAATGACTGGTTGACCAAGGGGATCCCCCCTCCCCCGAGAGCACTTTATTCTGGGTTTTATTTGTGTTCTTAGTATTCTTTTTATTTTGGATTTGAATGTGATATTTGTACCAACCTTTTAAAAAATATCTTAGTAATTTATTATTTGATTTTAACTCATTTTCTTTTAATACAGTAAGCCACCCTGGATCCTTTAGGAGAAAGGCAACACATGAATATTTTAAACAAAGAAATAAAATAAATAATGCTCATTTTACAGAAATGCACAAACATCAGTCTTGCAAATATATGAAATCTCCCCCAAACTGCCCCCACCAAATTCTTATCATTATGCAGTGTTTTGTTTTGTTTTGGTTTTTTTGCACATCTCCTTTTCCATAGAAAACAAATCAAGTCAGGGTTTGCATTCCTTGATTAAAGGAGCTTGCTGTTCCTTTTATCTGAATCCTAATCTGGACTAATCTCTGGCACCTGCTTTTTACTTACAGACAATGATTAAACTAGTTGATAAATGTAAGACTGCTGTTACATCTAGTACATCTTGTCTGACCCTTAAAAATCATCCCTGCACTGTTCTATCCCACAATATCAATTGACAAACATGTCACCATTTTTTGCATGCTGATAACTAAAAGGATAATGTGATGCTAAGCAAGAGAGACAAACATAAATAACAGAGTGGAAATATTTTTCTCCATCCATTAGCCTCATTGCTGGTATGTACACTTATCCAGGAAGGCTCTCTGTGTGGCAGAGTCCGGGGTGTGTAGAAAATCAAAGTACTCACTTGATGAGACTGACACAAACAACAGATTATGAGCTGTATATAATACATTTTTGGATTACCTTTAATGCAAATAGCTGGGCAGGTACTACAGTCCAGGAATATATGGGGGGGGGGTTGTCAGGCTTTCTTACATCCCTGTCAAGGGATCAAAATCTTCAAGAAGCTGGAGGAAAAAGGGAGAGAGAGAGAGAGAAAGAAAGAGAGAGAGAGAGAGAGAGAGAGTTTAAAAATACAATTCTTTTTAAATCTCCAATATCAATCTTAGGCCAACCGTTTATCTACACAATTTGTTCTTGGGTGAGGGATGTGTTGCTTTTTATTATACTGCAGAATATTGTTTTTATTGTTTTTCACTTATATACATTCAATCTGTATGTATCCTAGCCTACTATCCTGTTGAGAAGCTGCTGAGTACTGTATAATACTCTTCCCTCGGGTCTCCCATTGTAATCTTTGGCTTATAAGAGTGCAAGCAGAGGTGACCCAATTCAAAGCAATGGGACCTCTGCTTGTACACAAGGGTAATGAATATTCTCTTGTAGAGGTGGGCTCTTTCATATTTTTGAACTTCAACTCCCGGATTTTCCCACAAACCCAATTTAGCATGCCTGTAGGTTTTGCCCTTCAGCCATAAAGAGCTTTCAAGTGATTTGAGTCCACCATCAGCTTCCTCAGCCTTCCAGTGTCCTATTGGTTCCTGTTGTTGGTTTGTTAAAAAGAAAGGAAGAAAGAAAATTACAGTGGTAGTTATGGAGTTATGTACGTGGGGTGATTTTAAAGTCCAAGCAACCATCTTCACTTGTTCCCGGACAGCACCAGGGCCGATCTGTATTGTGCTTGTTCCTATCCCTACTCTTTCCTCTGTGACATTTCAAGGCCCAATTCCCTAGACCCAGATTTTGGCATTCAAATCCCAGGGAATAGGGAGGTGCTGACCTGGTAACTCTTCTCAAACATGCACATCGGTTGAGAAACAAACTATCCATTAAGGAAAATGTGTATCACCTGCTTTTACGGTGTTTGCCTCTAGGCACACAGCCCCTTCAAAGCAAAATTAGACTTGTAAATTAAGCCCTTGTTCACCTTCCAACAACCAATCCTAACACAAAAAAGCTAGCTGCACTGTGATCTATGCTGATGCCTTCTTGTTTATTCTTACTTCATGCAACAATCCAACCTGTCTCACAGATTGCTCCGTATGATTATGCATTTACAGTGGTGCCTCACAAGATGAATTTAATTTGTTCCGCTGTTAACGTTGTCTTGCGAAAAATTCATCTTGCGAAACACATTTCCCCATAGGAATGCATTGAAATCTAATTAATGTGTTCCTATGGGCTAAAAAAGTCAGAACAAAGTCAAAATTGGTTTACAAAGGGTTTATTAAGTGCTCTTTAAAGCCATATATATTGTGCAGATGATTTCAAAAATTTCAGTAAAAAAACTTTAACTTTTTAAACATCATAGAAAAACATTTAAAAATCAGCAAACATGAGGCAGGAACAAAAAAATGGAAGACATTCGTCTTGCAAAGCACCGCCACAGGAACATTCGTCTTGCAAATCATCAACCCCATTGCCAAAACCATTCGTCTTGCGAGGTTTTTTTTGTCCTGCAAGTCATTTGTCTTGCAAGGCACCACTGTATTAGGTAAGCTCATTTTCCATTTAGTTGAAAAGAACACCCCCCCAACACCCTTCTCCTTCTCTCTGTACAATTCAACAAACCCATAGCACAAGTTGGTGAAATTTGTGCTGCTTTAGCAGGATGGAAGTTTCCCACTATATGAGGTATTACAGGACCAAATTGGGATGCAGTAGCTGACCAAGCACAATGTATCATAGTCCCCAGAAGGGATAGCATGTCTGCTTGAGCTGCAGCAGTGAGATCCGTTACAGGCAAGCCTGTGTGACTGAGTTTCTGTGCCCGACGGTATCTAATCAGATGTGTGCAAACTAAGCTGGCATTCCGTCAGCACGCCTGGTTACGATACATGCTGGAATCTGCTGCAGTTCGGCTTGCTCGGCAATGGTTCTGCAGCTTCTCTCCAGCACTTCAGGCACCTTGAAGGAAGTCCATGCAGATTTCATGAGTCGCTGCTGGTGTTGAAGACTTTGGCAGGAGGCAGAGCAGGGAGCCTTCCCTCCATTATTGATGAGGCTGACCTCTCTTTAAACAAGCGATGCATAATTCATGCCAATGCTGGTGGTGTCTGTGGTGTTCATCAGCCACTCTTGCTGCTCCCTGAAATCGGTAAGAACGTCCTGCTGCCTGCACCTCCCCTCGCTTCCTCTCATCCCATTTCTTCAGAACTGCCAACAGACTCTGTGATGTGGTGTCAAGTCCTGGGCTCACTGGCAATGTTCAGCCACCTGTCTTTTTAAAAAGAGTTATAAACCCTCCCTGTTTGAAACACCCAAGTAAAAGAAAAGGTACTTTCTTTGTGCAATATAAGGCACTGACCTTAATAGTTACTAGCAGTTCCTTTCAGTCCAGGTATTTCTTTTGCAGGGCATCACTCCTGCTGTGGAGATACGAGTGTGCTTATTTAAAGCCACATAATCACAGGTCTATCCTTGGTCTCAAGCCAGTCACTGCCTCAGCCACAATTCCCCATATATGCAGTGGAATACATAAATATAGAGATATCCTGCTGTAGTCACTGACTAGCCTTGGAAAAACTGTCCAATCTCTGTTCTTCACCTTAGAATTTAAGGCACTGGAGATAATTTCTTGGGCTCTGAATTGCATGGGATCCAAATATCTAAAATTTCATTTTGTCCAAAGGAGGCCTGTATCTTGCAGTAGTGAATTCCACAACTTAGTTATGTATTTTGTGAAACATTACTTCCTTTTCTCTCTCCCGAACCCCCATCTTTCAGCTCCAGTGTGTACTCGCTTATACTGAACTGTTTTAATGCCCATTTAATTTTAATGTTCATTCTTTTAAGTGTGAAAAGATCCTTTGGGGACTCTTCACAATTTTGCTGGGGATTATGTTTCAGGCTGTTTGCCTTCATTCCAAAACTGACTCAGGAAACCTGCCCTGCTAGTGTATCTTTCTTCACATGAGCAAGAACTCTGATATTCTAAGGAGCTGGTTTGTGTGTAGAGCTTGCACTTAACTAGTAACATCTCCTCTGCAGGCTTGCTATTACTCAAGGGTAGAAAGTGGCCATAGTGGGGAAGGGCTAGATGCTACCCTTGAAGTGTGGTCAGCATCTGTGGGTAGGACTTGGATACTCTCAGATGGAGATGAAAGACTGAACTATTGGCGTGCTTTAATTCAAATCTCTAGATGAGTTAACCATTAATCAATGGTTTCATGCAGATGTTAAAATGCATACAGGACCCTGTGGAGCACCAAAGACCATGGGATGAAAGCAAAGTCTTTCAGCATCCCTAAGTAAGTTTACAACACCAGATTAGAACAGAGCCACAGTGACATCATGCTTCCAGCAGAGTTAGGACCACAGACGCCCAGAATCTCCCAGTCAACTTGGCCAGTGAGAGATTCTGGACTGTGCAGTCCAGAAAATGGCCATTCTAACCAGTACCTCCTAACCTCAATCCAGCTTGATGAGGATATGGTAACTAATGCTACGGAAGGAGATCCTGATTGGACTAGCATGGAGGTTTCATATAGCCATTGCTAGATTTATACCAAATTAATCCCATGGAAATTAATGGCTATCACCTGACAAAAACATCAGTACATTCTGTAATTCTACGATTAAGTTAGCCCAGCTAGACACAATCTGTTAACTGCAGTTGACAAGAGATGTGAAGTGAATAGGAGGCCACACTTGGAACAGAGTATGACTAACAGGGCTTTTTAGAGTTAAGACAAAGGAGATGCTGGTAGAGCTATTAGGGTCACAGTTTCCATGCTGCATTGCCTAGTCCTCTTCTCTATTAGTGGGATTGCTACCTTGACTTTCTTCCAATGAACTCAAGAGGGTGCATGTGGATTTCCTCTCTTTTCTTTATATTCACAACAACCCTGTGAGGTAGGGTCAGACTGTAAAAGGCTATAATGGCTTTGTAAAGCTACTGGCTATGTTGCCTAGGACAGTGGTCCACAGAATTCCCAGAAGCCTTCACCACCACCTCTGCTGGACAGGATTTCTGGAAGTTGAAGTCCAAGAACATCTGGAGACCCAAGGTTGGGGACCACTGGCCTAGAAGATTCTGGGAACTGCAGTCCATAAAAGTAATTTCACAAACTCTGAATTCAACATATCTGAATAGTAGACAATTATGCTGTAGAAACTAATGCTGCTTTCAGATCCTAATGAATAAATTAAACTCAGAGTACTGTAGTTTATAAATACAAACTTTCTGAAAAGTTCAGGATTGCTGAAATGCAGCAGAGTAAATGACACTAAAAGCATCTATTCTGACACAGGCAGTGGAACAACAGACAAAAAACCAACATAAAAATCTGCAAGATATTTTTCTGTCAACATTCTGCAAGGAGGGAAGTAATGCATGCAAAAATCTTTGCCCTCAGGAATGTAGAGAGGAGATGAGCCACTGTTAACAAGGGGAATCAAACCAGCTACATGAGATTTACCAGAGCAGGTGAACATAATGTTCAGGATTATGATTTATCCCTATCATCCTATTGGCTATGGAAACAGCTCCCAGCTGAAGGAGGCTGCTGCAGGAACTTGCCATCACGCTCATATTACTCTGAGAATCAAAACAGGATTGAACTAGGACAGCCACTAAATAAGAGTTTACAAATCATGGCTTAGCTATTACATTGTTAAGTGAAGTTAATAGGATAACTCTTGATGACAATCTCTCTCTCTCTCTCTTTCTGACTACCAGTTTTAGCAGTTTACCTTCGGGTGCATTAGAAACAAGTTGAGGCACAGCTCTGCACAGCTACATACTTCATATGTACTGGAACACAGCCTTGCTATACATTATTAGACTGCTGAGAGTTACAACAGAAATGACATATTGGAAATGGGGAAGGGAAGCAGTTGTCATACCCTTGGGAATTCAACAGAATTGGGATGAATGGGATGGCTTGCAGAGCAAAAAAGCAAAAGCAAAGTGTGCTGCTTATATACTGCCCCATAGTGCATCAAGCGCTCCTTGGGCGGTTTACAAATTAATTATGCAGGCTACACACTGCCCCCCCTCAGCAAG